ACCATGACTCCCGAACAGTACGATCCAGAATATTTTCTCGAATCGGATTGAATTATTTAGGCCCTGTCACTGCTAAAACGGAAGTTGGAATGGCGAAAAGTTGGGTAGCATTATTTACATGTTTCACAACTCGTGCAGTGCATTTAGAATTAGCAGATGATTTATCTGCAGAAAGTTTTCTTACTGCGTTAAGAAGATTCGTAGCACGACGAGGCTGTCCTGAACTAATTTTATCAGACAATGCTAGCCAATTCCACCTAGTCTATCGAACGATCAAGAAACAAGAATCACAATTAAGTAATTTCCTTATAAGCAAAGGAATAATATGGAAGTATATAACGCCGAAGGCACCGTGGAGTGGAGAAATTTATGAAAGAATAGTCGGTATAACGAAAAGTGCCTTTAGAAAAGCCGTTGGTAGAAAATTATTAAAAGAAAAGGATTTAGTTACCCTAGCGATCGAAATAAAGAGTATTATGAATACTCGCTCCATTAACTTACGTGAATTTTGATGATTCAATAATTTTACGTCCTGTGGACGAAATAGTGAGTATTATGAATACTCGCCCATTAACTTACGTGAATTTTGATGATTCAATAATTTTACGTCCTGTGGATTTTATTTCCCCCAATGCCTTACTAAATATACCAATGAGTAATGACAGTGACGAAGATGAATTTATTCCACATGAGTTAACCACTTATGATAAGCTTATTAAATATTGGTCAAAAACTTTTGAAACTCTTGATATATTTTGGAAAATTTGGAAAGATGAGTACTTAAATAGTTTAAGGGAACGTACACAAATAAAACACAATTCTCCTAGAAGCGCAATAATACGACCACCTTCCCTAGGCGAAGTCGTACTAGTAATGAACCACATATTCCTCGCGGAATGTGGAAACTAGCAAAGATAAATAAACTTAATAAGAGTAGCGATGGAAATGTCAGGAGTGTTCAGATAGAATTGCCTTTTGGGAAACTTCTCAATAGACCAGTTAATATGTTATACCCTCTGGAAGTGGAACAAGAAGATCAACCCGAAGATTCTGTAACTGAATTAACGAATGCAAAGGACGAAGAACCCATCGCATGGAGAACACGAAGTTCAACAAAGGAGCTACGAACTCCAGCTGTGATCGAGAATGAAGAACTAATAACTAGAAGTTTGGCAGGACAACAACGAAATCCAATAAGCTTAAGGAGTAAGTCAAGTTTCACAATGTTATGTATAATGTTAATAACAGTTTTATCCATAATGCCGACAAGAACATTAGCAACAAAAACCTGTAAATGGAGATCTGGAATATCATTTAACATTGCTAAAAGGGTGGATGACAATTTATTAGTTGCTCCTTGTAATTCGAGAAACATCACACAGAACACGGTTGAGTTCAAAGTTGGTATAATAAGCAAATTTGAAATTGAAAGAATCAATGCGGAAATAGAAATATTGGCTGACAAACAAAAACCCATCAATCCAGTATCTCATCAACAAAACATGGAAACTATCTGGCAAGAAATCAGTTAAGAAGGAGAAGAGCTAGCAGAACAGCTGGATGATGAGATTGGCAAAGCTACGTTACTGATACAAAACGAACTTTCGGAATTTGCCGTACATTAGCGCATGATTATTGGTGGAACTAGTATGCTCATTCTGTTGATAGTGCTAATTATTGTTAAATTAAATTGTCAATTGATTTTATTTCCTTTACGTCCAAAATGTAATAGAAATTCAAATCAAGAAACCGTTGCTATCCCTATGAATTTATTAGGGGAAGACCTACACAACAAAAGGGAATTTAAAACTACCATTAAGAATGTTTTAAGTTATCAACCCAAATTCTTTACTCTTGCTAGTTTTCTGCCCTCTCGGGAATGTCGAGAATTTTCTCGAAACTATGAATCATTGCTTATAAAAATCAAAAGGTCACTTTTTTTCCTTTGAGAACGTTGTGTAGGAGTGGGTTTTTTTTCTTCTTTTCTTTGCAGTATAAACAGTTTTTTTAAATTTGCGTTTTACCTAAACTATTCCCATTTTCAATAAAAATAAATTATTATTATATTGTTGTGGTGTGACAGCCTTACAATCTTCGTTCAGTCTAAACGAAAAAGTCACAACAGACGGTCTTTTATGTAATCTGAGTTATACCCAGTTATAAAGGGCTCCTGTAATGCCATAACTACTAAGAGTGATCAATAATTTGCTATGAGAAACAGTATCAAAAGCTTTAGCCAAATCTAGATATACAACTGATAGTGTTTTTCCATTGTCAGTTGATGAAGATCAATCGGAAAGATTTGCCAATATTTGTGAAGAAGTGGATTTTTTTGAACAAAAGCCATGCTGATAAGGGGATATAAAATTATTGGAATCAAGATAAGTAACTATTTTGTTGCAAATCAATCTTTCGAGTACCTTGTTACTAACGCTTGTTAGGCTAATAATCATAGGTGCTTCTTTTTTTATGAATGGGAAATTATATGAGACAACTTCCAAATCTTGGGAATTAAAAAAAATTATTATAAAACTATTTTAGATTGTCGTTTATAAAGTATTAAATAATAGAAAAATCTTTATTATCAATTCATATTCGAAATATTTTTTTTGTTATAATAATTAATTATTCCCATCTAATTTATTTGAATCATTAATTATAAATATAAATATTTTGTGACTACAATTTGTATTGTAGAATGGACTGTAAAAAATTGCGAAAGCAAGTCTCTTTACAAACTCTTTAATATCCTCCAACTTCATCGAATATCGGTTTAATATTTTGAAGCCCAGCTTTTGCAACAATGCTTCAGCCATATTTGAAACCCAGATAGAGTGGCCCTTTAATATAATAAATCACTATTAAATCATATACTTATCATCTAATAGCGCTTTTTCTTTCGCGGGCTGCAGCTGGTTATTAGAATCAAACCGCCAGTGAGTTTTTTGGGGCTATGATTATGTATCTACTTAATGCTAAACTTCTTATTTTTGTCAGTGCCACAGTTTTGAAAAAGAACCTTTAAAGTTTGAAAAATTGAAAATATGCAAGAAGGACCGAAATTAATACAAATTTTTTCCGTCACTTGACATTTTCTCTTTTACAGTACAATTTTAAATAGATCATATGAAATTTCATAAAATTTATAGTATATAGAAAATATTAATTAATATAGAAAAAATATACTCGCAAATTCGATTGTTGTTGACAAAAAAGAAAAAAACTGGTTTCTACTTTCGCCTTTCGCTTGAAGAAATAATGTCCTAAATATTGGAAAAGCCAATTATTTCTTATTGGCTTTAGACTGAGGAATCCTTTTTTTAACATCCTTTTTCTGGATCCATTGGCTATTAGGAAGAAACTGTTAGGAGAAGATAGAGCTCCAGCGCTCCAGCATAATTTTTTCTTCTCAGAAGAATCGAATTATGACGATTAAAAAGATAATCTAAGCAATACAACATTCGAGTCACCTCTAAGAGATTAAAGAGAAAAAAAAACAATTTTGTTTATTTATTTATTTGCCTGAAAATCACGCTGTGCCCTGGAATTCCTGGATGAGAAATTAATTCATTGTTTATAGATGTTTTATATATTTACGCAATACGCAATACTTTGATATTTAGCCCACATTTAATATTTTTTAACTTAGTAATTTAATAATGATTAAATTCAGATGAGACGCCATAACCATATTTATTTCTTTCATTTCACTTGTCAAATATTAATAAATCCTTTGGGATCTGCCGCCATCATAATGCGCAACCATTCAACCATTTTGCACCAAAAAACCAAACTTGTTTCAAATCAGCTTTTAGAAGTTGGTTTAGTTTGACCGTTTCAGTTCCACCAGCAGAATGTTCATTTAATTGACTAATTAATAAATTTTATAATTTTTAATTTATAATTTATAATTTTATAATTTTATAATTTTATTTTATAGTCATTTGCAAACTCAAACTGAAAATCATGAAAATGAAATTAAATGAATGTAAATTACTCGTTAGATAACATAAATTACTCATTAGTTTCGGTCAATATTAGAATATAATCTCTCCGAATACTTTGAATTAGTGCAATCATATATTAATAAATCAATCAAGGTGAATAAAATCATAACCTTATTTTCAAAATGAAGGGATTTATTTAACAAAATACTGATTTACTTACGAAACATATTGAATATTGTAAAATATTGCATATTATTAATTATTAATTATTTGATGCTCGGCTCATAGCCAATTATAGCCAATTAATGAATTAATTATGATTATTCAGTTATTTACTATATTTTTCATATTATAAATGTTGTAATATACAACTGAAAAAAAGGCTTTAAAACGCTTATGGCGATGTACAATGAGCTTTATGGTCAATTTATGTTGCTTCGATCTGTGTCGAGCATCATATTTTTCGAATTCTTGCCTGGGCAAAAATTAAGTTGTCATTAAAAAATCGAGGACTGATAGCTCATAGCCAATTATAGCCTTTCTATCGATAGCTTATGGAAAATGCAGGAATAGTAGAGAGATTTTTGTTCTTTTGAATATTAGTGGATTCAGCGATAATTGATTTTCAATTGCGAATTCAGAAAAGAAGAGTAAGATATAATTATCACTGGTGTTAATGATAAATATGGTCTAAGTAGAATTTTCAAGTGTAAATACTGTAATGATGAGACATAAGAATGGTCTGAGAGTGGGAAAAGATATAAATGAAATATTTGAGACATCAAATTTATTTATGCAGAAACGAAACAAACCAACCGGTTAACAGGGACCCCTTTTGCCAGTCTGTTCATTCATTAATATTCGTGCCTTCTTCACCCTTCGTTGGTTATCGTCTACCGGAATTTCTTTCATTCTTAATGGTTTAAGAAGAAAATTCTTTTCATTTGCACCTTTATTGAATTGTTTTTTATTTTGATAAATTTTTAAAATTTTTTGAAAAACTTTTTTCTAGAAATTTGTGTTTTGATTGATTCGTTTTCGTTCAATCTGACATATGGGAAATGTCATCTTTTATGACTCTAACGGGTTCCATTCACCCCTAATTCATTGATTCATTCCTTTTGCCACAGAAATTCTTTGGGTCAACATCATCAGTTTTTAATATGGGAAAAGAAGAGTGTTAAGGACTACGTTGGTGGCAAAAATACGGGAAGGGAATAAAAAATGAAGGTAGTTTTCTTTTCAAGATTGATTCAAAATTATTCGAAGCTGTTTTTCTAACTTTTGGCGTCATTTATTCTTTATGAGCGTTTGTAATTATCAGCTCAATAGGACCAGAAAAGATATTTCTTGTGAGCATATATATTTTTCCATTAAAAAGTAAAATGTAAAATTTCCTCTAGATTCTGCTAAAAAAACTTTTTAAAGAAAAAAATCGAAATTTCTAAAATTACACCTAAGTATTTAAGACAGTTTTTTTTATTTTTTCCCAGTTTTTACCCTTTGTTACCTTGAACTACTTATCGAATTCCTAGTTCAATTAACTTCACTCTTTAGAATTTTAGATGAGTGCCAAGAAATCACTGGCTAAAATACAATTAACGCTTGATACCGATGATGGTTTGCCATCGATAAAAGAAAAGAAATTCATTAGATGTATTAGAATCACGGTAAAATTTATTTTTATGTAAGAATGTAAAAAAAAGGCTATTTTTATGGGAAAAAATGAAGCCGTCGAAAATTAAAATTTAATCGCCATCACACTACAAAATATTTCAATCTTGTGAATTTCTTCATTCCTTTACTCCTAGAATCAATGAAAAGTGCTATACTTTCCTACATTAAAATACAGCGTTCGAAGTGCAAGAAGTTCAATATCTAATGTCGAAAATGAGCAAAAATGCTGCTAGAAATTGGAGTGGTACCAGCATCCACCTTAATTTCTATCATTAAAAGCAAAAAAGCAAGATCTCGTAGCAAGAATTTTTAATCTATTAAGTCAGTCAGCTAGCCTAACCAAAAATGGTGAGCGCTAGCATTTATCCATTTGCCGGATTCATATTAGTGCATGGACGTAGCATATTTATCGAACTGCGAAATAATTCATTTATTGAAAATAAGGAAATTTTCTTTTTTTTTTTAAATTAATGTTTTGCCAACATTTGTCAACATTCAGCCATGATTTTCAACCTATGAAGATCAGCCAAATTTGCACTTATAATCTTTGGAGCATATAATTTCCATCTATCTGAATAACTAAATGTTTTAGACTGCTCTGAAAATAATTGCTCTTATACGATTGCTATTAGAGCTTATAGCAGTTTACGTTGCATGCGACACGATTTTTGTCTACTTTCTCGCATTCACTTCACTCGGAACATTTACGACACTCTGTATAATTATTAATGGATTATTGGAAGAAAAATTTAAAAAAATTTATTGGACTAAATTGTGGTTGGTAAGTATTTTGTTTTATATATTTTTATTTCACAATTTTTTTCTATTTTTAATTATTTTAATTCAAAGACAACGAACTTTTAAATAAAGGGAACGTCATTTATTATCATATAAGTAGTTCTTGCAATTTTTAAAAATTTCTGAGCGGTCATTTCAACAAAATATTTCTACTTTTATTTCTGAATTTTAACAATTTTCGGCAAAATTTTACTATGTAATAAAGTGTAATTATTCCTGATCTTATTTCTGAATTATTTCTACAATTCCGGAATTCCTAATTTTCATAATTTTATAAAAAACTTTACTATTTAATAAGTAGCGGTTGCTCTTCCATCGTAATTTATTTATGATTCGTTTATTTATTTATTTATTCTTGCTTTTTTTTTTAATAATAATAGCAATAGTAGTGTAACTTACATTTATAAAATCTCTGGCCTCTTCTTTTGATGGGATAACCTGTCATAAAACTATCCAAGTGGTTGCTGGGGATTTATAGATTTATATCCCCAGATGAGCTTTATGGTCAAAGGACTGGTTATATAAATTGGCGTCGGCGTCCTCCTAAATGCATGATGTAGCGCAGTGGTATATGCAGTAAGTAAATTTGTCTGGTAAAATAATTTCTAGATTTGGTGAACCAAGATAAGTGCTCTGGACCTATTAATGGAAACGAACAAGTGTCGGTCGGCACTGTTTAAGCACGACGACTTGGCACGCCTTGGCCATAGCAACATGAAATTTCAAAATTTCAAAACGCTCATGGACATCGAGAATCTGACGATAATCGTGAATACTTTGCCCAAATTTTTATACTTGATTCGGAACAGATTACTCGCTGTGTCGTTATGGTGCTTCGGATAATTTGAGATGAAATAAGTATTGTGTAAAAGAACTCGATCCGCTATAATTGAGAGCAGAAGTTTGTTATATGCCCGTTTCAAAGGGAAATTCTGTCTCGAGTTATCTATCTCGGGCTACTTCAAACTAAATAATTTTACGGATTGAATTATCGAAGAATTGTCATCAATAATCTTTGGCCGATGAATACTGATCTCAACTAAAATACCTCTAAAAGTCACAAATCCACACTAGAATGTGCCATTCGGAAATGCATTAATCGATTACTAGAAGCCACCTTGAAAAAATTAGAGGAGTTAAACAAACTTTAAACATCTTCACCCACTCTCCAAATACCAAGTGGCCAACCGAAAGAAGAAATTGCAGCCAGGATAATGCGCTAAAAATGCGTTATTTCAATTGGCGAAGCCTCTAATCGCAAAGAATTCAGTATGGAAACAAAAGTTTGCATCTATCAGTGCGCATCATATTATATCGTTGCGAAGCATGGGCACTAAGAATAGAAGATATTAAGAAGCTGTGACCACTCATGATATATTTTACACCGAGCGATTCACATTCCAAATGATTGCACCCGTTTTTATTATGTTTTATTCAAAATATTATTAAAGGGCATCGCCTATGCTGGTTCATCATAGAAATTGATACATAACGCTACTCATTAGACCCTGTTGGATGGTGTCGAAAGCGAGAAGGACCAATCACGATCTGGACCGAAATTGTTAAAAAAGGTTTTAAACTTAGACCAACGATATTGGCACAGGAGGGAGCGGCTCGGAGCCAGCATTCCCTTGCAGCTAGCAGAACCAGCCTAGCCAGCAAGTGTGAGGGATCTTGGAAGAAGATCCTATAAGCATCTTTCTTCCCATTTATGGTCTGGCTGGCTTCACTGGCTATTATGATGAAACATTTTCCTTCGAGGATCACTTGAGAATAGGATGGATGCGAGCATCTTTCGGACTTCAGTTTCATGATATGTTCACTGGCATTAAGATATATAAAAACAACCCGTAACGGCCAATGGCTTGGCATTAGTGCAAATAATATACCACTCTATCGTCCAATTTTTAGTTCCGAAATGGGATGCATTACTATAACACTTTAATGAGATTTCTTTTAATCTCTATAATAATAAGTAGTAAGTACCACCAATTAATTAAATTGAAATTAAGTGAAAAATTCGATTACGGAAAATTTTCAGATTTTCAAATATACCATAACATCGATTATAATCGTAATTAGTGTTGTTGGTTATTATGAAGGATATTTTCAATTTTTTGGTAAAAACTTTGTTTTATCTGTTCTTTCTCATTACCACCAATGAACACCACCGATGACTAAAAATCACCTTTAGCACAAACATTGCATATTGGATTCAAAAAGCAAAATTTTCAAACCTTTACTTCGAAGCCACTTATTTCTTGCGGCTCCATCTTCACTCAAATCAGTTTATCGAAATAGATAGATTATAAGCATTAGATGGTTGAGCTGGCGCTTTCTGCGTTTTTAAAGAACTTTTTTATTACTCATCGTCCCGTCGATATATTATCCAATATTATCCTTTAATTTTTATTTCAGATCCTATCAAATCCACATCAAAAATAATTCTTATTATTATTGCAATTCTTCTACCATTAACAGGATATATCCAGTGGCATTTGTCAACGGAAGTAATTCAGTATTTCAGTATTCGTGACGACATTTATACCATTCCATCTGGGAAATTTAAATGGAGACCTGAAATTTTATTCCCGCAAGAAATTAAACATCAAAGGTTCTAAACAAAAAATTCGTGGATTGGTAGGTTTGCGTGGGAGATGATTTCCAGAATACATCAACAAAATTTTTCGACATTTGGCTGCAGCTAAATGAACCATTACATCCAAATTCCAAATTCAACTACTGTAGACTTGAAGCACATCGCTTTGCATTTATTAACTTGAAACATATTTTCCTCCAATTAAGATAATTTAAAATTCAGTCAACGATTGATCACCTCTTTTTACTACTCATCGTACCAAAGATTTACTCAAAATTTACTCAAATTCGAAAAATCAAAATTCAAAGAATGTCGCGGACAGTGAAATATGTTTTGAGGATGAATTTTATTGAAAAAAATGTAAATCTTTTTTGCATTCCATTGACGATACCTGCAATGATTGATCTTGTTCCATAATTTCTTTAATATGTTTTTTATTTATTTTATATCTGAAGTGTGCGAGCTTACGCGCTTAACTTGATAAAAACCACACATGGGTACTTTACCTTTGCTATTTTCATCTATTCTTCATTTGTTCGAATCTCCTATAATTTTTATTCGAAATTTCCAACAAAAAGCGATAAATTATCAACCATAACGGTTATTGCAGTCGAATCCAACGAGTAATGCTTATAACTTAAGAATAAAACATGGATATGAATGAATCATAACCTAATAATACGACTTTTGTGGGATTACAAAATGATAGGTAATGATGGGTATTTCACTGGATTAGAACGATTACATATTTCTACTGGATTATAAGAAAAAGCATGAAAATTATTAAAAATTGAACATATTTAGAAAACAATGTTTGGTGTGAGTGTATAAAATTTCTTTAGAAACAAATCCACAATAAAAATAGAAACAAAACGAAGAAAAATATCTGCTAGTACGACCGAACTTTGGGTGGAATCCAATCGGTTTCACTCTTGTCAAGAGTTTTATCAATTACAGGTCTATAGCTAAGTTTGATCTGCAAAACCAAACCAATAAACAAATCTTCGTTTGAAGAAAACAAAAGTTTATAAATTTAAAAATGTTAAATCACCTTCCCTGTTTCAGTATCTTGATGAATTATTGTATGTTTGCGCCAGTGCTGTTCAATTGGTTTCTTTATTTGACCCTCTAATGGCTTCGAATAATCATATTCATCGATTCGATTCTACAAAATATTTTATAAACCATTTTGTTTAGAACAAATGCATAAACGATTTGCTTCTTTTACGCTCTTTCTCATAAGTTGCTGAGGATTTTTAAAGAGTTTTATAAGTTACCCTTGCTCTCATATGAAAAAATAAAATTAAAATATTAAATCGTTAAAAAATAACAATAAAAAAAGTAGAGACTTCATAGATTAAATAACGTTCCCCTAAAAAATATAAATAATTATATAAATATAAATATTTTTTATTAAGAAAATATTTTTCAAAAGAAAACACATTTATTCAGAAGGGTAGCTTTAAGCGTAATTTTAACATTTTGTAAAACTTTAATTCACCGCCTAAAAAGGGGAAAAAAGCTAATAACGCCTTTTTACGGAAATGCAAATAGTTTGAATTCACCAATCTCCAGAAATCCAATAAAATTACCAAATTTGTCAGAAAACAACAAAAATCAAAATTAAAATTACCGGAAAGTCGTCACGCGCGTGTGCGCCACGTGATTCTTCTCTTTTTTCAGCTGCCACAATTGTCTGCGTCGCGTTGATCATTAAATTTTGAAGCTCCAATGTTTCAATTAGATCAGAATTCCAAATAAGTCCACGATCTGTCGTTTTTAAATGCTTCAATTCTTTATATATGTCGTTCATTCTCTCGACTCCTTCCTGCGGATACCAGAAATCCAATAACTCGTTTACAGCTAATACACATCACTAAATCATCACTAAAACAACTAATCACTAAACCATCTTTTTCAAGAAACTCCTATTATTCATAAATATCATACTTTTAAAATATCACCACGACGAAAAACTGCAGCATGTTTCTGCATGGTTTTCTGCATTTTCAGACGAAGATCAGCAGTAGAAATATCCCCTTTAGCATATCGCAGTTTATCAAGATTTGCAATTGAGGTCTCTCCCGCTCCTTTTGGTAAATCGGGAGCTTTATCGCCTGGTTTTGTATGCTTCATAATACTGAAATATTATCCAATTCAATAAAAGTTGGGAAATATATAAATGCAACATACAAAAAATATATATATTTGAAAAACATATGTTGCATTTTTAAAAACATGAACTCTGCATAATAATATTGATAATAAAATATGACATAGATTCTATGTGGAATTCCCATTGATACAAACATGGTTACAATCGGAAAGACTGGAATACACGCAATACATGCGTGGTTCGAGATGTTGCAGATGGGGATGGGATCTTTAGTTTGCATATATGGTGTAGAAGTCTGCTGTGCCAATGGAGAAAACCATTTTACCGAAATGCCGTCTCCGATCCTAGTACTAACCAAGCCCAACGTTGCTTAACTTGACAGATAATTTTTTGCTATCAGTATTTGCCTTCGGCATAGAAGATATCTAGCCAAATAGACTTCTTCGGATACGATCGATTATATCCTGACCAGTATATCCTGACCAGCCGTAGCCATAGTTGCAAAAATTTTGTTTTAGGCAGCCGTTCTTATCACAGCTCTAAAACTAGCAATCTTCATGTAACGATTGCAGCCATGTTCCTCAAAGGTCTTTCGTCAAGAGCCTTTCAAGCTAAACGACAACGTATTTTGGAACGAAAGTAATTGTAGCCTAAAAATGCTAGAAATGCGTTTTTTCAGTGGTTCTACAGTATTTCCTATCGAATCGCCGCAAAATTACCATCAAAGTTCGCATCTACTTGTAGTACATACGCACCATCCTCTTTTATCGCTGCGAAATATGATAAATGAGAGTAGAATATTAAGAATCAATCCACTTTTGACCACTTATGTCTAATATTTTATGTATTTGCCGAGCGGATAAAATCCACATGATTGAATCCATGTTCGCTCTATCTATCTGCTATCTAAATACTATAATTAAATAAATATTAATATTATCTACATTCAAAACATCGTCAAATATAGTAAGACTATGTTCTTCTGCGCAGAAAATGATAATTCTTACCTGATGTGAAGGCATTAAAAAGGAAGAATACCAACTAAAACCCGGATCAATAAAATCACTATAATAAAAAAATCAGAAAAAATTCTGCAAGAATAAATGGACTAGTAATGTGTCGACTTATAAATGGAAAAGGGAATGTCTGCATTAGCAATGGGATAAAATCGAACATCTTGGAAAACTTTTATCTTTGTAACCAGCAAAGCCAGCTTAACCGATAATGGTGATAGCTTTTAGATAAACAAAAATTTGATAATATAAAATAGTGTATAACTTAAATTACTGAGAACAGAATCACCTGATAGCACAAGCTCGTCCAAAGATCACAAGATCGAGTAGCGAATTAGCACCTAGGCGATTCGCGCCATGGACGGAATGTGCAGCGGCTTCACCAGCAGCATATAAGCCATCAACAAGCTGAAATAGTAAAATTCCATTGGTAAAGAAAAAAATGATGACTAATTAATAATAAAATGGAAGAAATGTAAAAAACTATAAAAATAATAATACCTGATCTCCTTTTTCAGTACTATATTGCAAAACCTGACCCATGTAATTTGTGGGAATACCACCCATATTATAATGTACTGTAGGAATTACTGGAATTGATTCTTTGGTGACGTCAACACCAGCGAAAATCATAGCTGTTTCCGAAATTCCTGAAAGTAACCAACAAATCAAATTATAATTATATAATGCACGACCATAGCCGCCTGTGGCCAATATCGTATTTTAATTCTGAAAAAATAAAATGTAAAAAATATAAAAATTATTTTATTAAAAATAAAATAAAAAAATAAAATAATTTTTATTGTTTTTCCATTTTGATTATTATTATTCATACGGCAAGCCGAACCTGGAAGTTTAGAATGCAACTGTTCAGCAGGTAAATGATGAAGTTGCAAGTAAATATAATCTTTTTCAGGACCAACTCCACGGCCTTCCATGATTTCAATAGTCATTGCACGAGAGACAACATCGCGAGAAGCAAGATCTTTTGCATTTGGAGCATATTTTTCCATAAATCGTTCACCTTTACTATTCACGAGAAATCCACCTTCACCTAAAAAAACAAATGGAAAACTTCTACAATAAAATGAAAAGTAACTCGAAAAAATCGCAAAAAACCTCTAGAGCCTTCTGTGATAAGGCAACCTGCTCCATAAATACCGGTAGGATGGAACTGAACGAATTCCATATCGGCATTAGGAAGACCGGAGCGGGCAATCATTGCCGTACCATCACCAGTGCATGTATGTGCCGAAGTACAGCTGAAGAATGCACGACCATAGCCGCCTGTGGCCAATATCGTATTTTTAGTTCTGAAAACAAAATTTTTTTCGTCGATATGATTTCTAGGCGAAAATACATTTTGAAAGATGATATACCTGAAACGGTGAATTGTTCCATCTTCTAAATTCATAGCGATTACACCAACACACGCACCTTTGTCCATTATGAGATCGAGAGCGAAAAATTCTATAAAATATTGGCAGTTATACTGAAGTGATGAACCATAAAGTGTATGAAGCATTGAATGCCCAGTTCGATCGGCTACACAGCAGGTTCTGTAAATTAAAAGAATTTATAGATTCAAATTGCAAAAGGATATATCAAAGAATTGGTTTTACTTTAAGAAAAGAATTCGAAACGAAAATAAATAGAAGAATTTAATACCTATGAGCTTGTCCACCTCTTCCAAAATCATTACTCTGGCCACCGAAAGCTCTCTGATAAATTTTTCCTTCAGATGTTCGTGAAAATGGCATGCCGTAATTCTCCAGCTCGATAACAGCGCGCTCCGCTTCACGCGTCATATAATGAATTGCATCTTGATCACCAAGCCAATCGCTACCTAAAAATAATGGGCATATATTTTGAAAACTTATATAAAATAAATAATAAAAACCTCATCACTTAAAATGACTGACAAAAATTCATCAGAGCCTACCGAAGAGTTAAAACAAACAAACAGTAATACCTTTAACTGTATCGTAGAAATGCCAACGCCAATCATCTGGATTCATATTACCTAAAGCAGCATTTATACCGCCTTGTGCTGCAACTGTATGTGATCTCGTTGGAAACAGTTTCGTTATCACAGCTGTTTTTAGACCTCCTTCACTTAATCCCATAGCAGCTCTTAATCCAGCACCTCCTGAAACGATAATAGTAAAACCAATGAATATAATACTCTGGAATATCAAAAAATTTTTTAATACATGAAACTTTGAAACTTTGAACTCCATTAATGAAATTTTATATTCTGTATTTCACAGTATATTCAGAATTTCGTTTGGAATCCCAAACTTGAAAAAAAAATTCCTTTTAAATCGAGCAGTGTATAATATGGATAAATTAACGAACCTGCTCCAACAACAACTGCATCATATGCATGATCAATTATTTTATAATTCGAAATATTGCTTGTTTTCGCCTCATTTCGACACTGGGAAATCGAAAACGCTCGCTGCGTACGAGCTGTCAAAGAACGAATTAACATTTTGCTGAAATAAATTTAGAATTTCGAAAAATATAAATTTAACAAAATGTGATCTGATAAAGCTATAACGAAAAAAAATCTGGTCGATTTAATTTAAATATATATTTTTTTAAGCAAATGGACAGGAAAAAAAATTAAATGGGTAATTTCGTCGACCAAATGCCCAATATCATTATCTTTGCAAAGAAAAAAATAGACGAGATGAAAATCACCAACAGAGTAAAAGAAAACATATAAAACAACAAAAAATTGAAAAAAAATTATTTTCTGTCGTTTCAAATATTTAAAAAAATTTCTTGAAAATATGAAACAAATTAGAACCGAATTTGCCAAATTTCTTCCTAAAATTTTTTAAATTCGTAACATTTTAAGTAATATTACATTTTTATTTCATAAATTATATTAAAGATGGTTTTTTTATTTCAAAGTGCTAAAACTGAAAGAAAAAACCATTAAAGAAACCTTTGATTAAACCTTAAAATAAACTTTATTATTCAAATAGTACTGATTCATACATTTCGTTTTATTTTTCGAACGCACAGATTACATTAGGAGATTGAAAAATTTCGTAAAAGTCTTACATTTAACAGAATTTCGCAATAAACAAAATCAATGCATTGAAAAAATATAACATTTCAAAAAATAACCAAAAATTGTTGTAAGACAATAAATCATTTAATCATGACCTCTTGCATTCAATAAAGTTCATCAAATCAGAAACAATTCGATTTCGAAAACTCGCAGGTCATATGATCTGAAAAACTAATATGACCTGAAAAAGAAAACCATTATGGAACTTGCACCATATTCCTTCCTTACCCTTCTTCTAACAGCTCTCACCATTACTGGTTAGCCATTACTGGTTAGGATGCCTCCAACGACCACAAGGGTAAGACGCTTCCAAGCGGCGCGGTCTGATATCGTCGATAATAATAGTCCTTCCTTACGCACGTCAAAACAAAACCTCGACAAACCATCTCTTTTATCTAAATAACCGTCAGTCAGCTCCAATCACCTCAAAATTCTACTCCAACCTTCCCGGTCAAAACCACCGTCTTCTTCCACCCACATCACCATACCAACATCAACGACCTATTAACAGCACAATGTGAAATTAGATTCTTCCTTCTTCATCATGTTTTCGTTTTAAAATTGAATATTTTCAAAAAACCAGAAAATCAGATTTTGGAGCACGATATTTAATAAATTTATCATCTTTGGTAATCAAGTGCTTCTCAATGGGGCCCTACTGGACCATGCTAAAAATTTGTGTGTCACTAACTGATAGAAATCCCGATTGGAAATCCCACAGCAAGGAGGAATATCGCTGATAAAAAAGGAATTTTCTTTTTAGAATAGGTTAATAAGGACTAGATTCTGGGAATACTAGGTAAAGCACCCAGTTTCCTTTAATTTGTTTTGTTTTCCGTTGTAGCCTTCCTTTTTTCTGTCTCTAAGTTACTATATGGATCAATCATGCTTTTTTAGCTGTCATGCTTGTATTACTAACAGGACATTTATTTTTCTTTGCAGTACTCCATTTGAATGCCAATAGTTTTCGTGTTCCACCACAGTAGAAAGCTGCGATGTGCTTAAGTGCCAATTTAGGTTCAAGAAATGAATTCCCCCAACTTTGGAATGAGGTGAAAAAATTTCCAAGCTCTTTTAATAAATTAAAATTTATTTTTTAAAATTAAATTTATTTAATAAATTAAAATTTATTTAAAGTAATTACTTAATACAACATTTTCTTTCCAAAATTTACATATAATTTTGTATTTTTCTACAATTTTCTTCCAATTTATGGTTTTTATTTCTTCATTTTTTTAAATCCTAAATTGTCCATTTTTTAAAGTACAATAATTTTAAAGTACAGAAATTTTTCTTAAATCTTAAGGAACAGAAAAATCTTAAGGAACAGAAGTTGATTTGAAAATCAACCGACTGTCTTATAGTTTTTGTCCAATCCTTACTTGCATTTCACTAAAAATGTAGCTTTTTAAGGGGGATTAAAAGAAAAAAAGGTTGAGAACTACTGATCTCAGCGATTATTATTTAGTGACATAGAAGCAGAATAAGCAGAGATCACATTAATGGAAGTTTATAAAATTAAGGAAATTCATTTCATTAGACTGGATTTTTGCAAAAAGATTTTTGGGAAATACGGTAAATCAAAATTTATTAATAAAGCAATGAAAATTAATCTATCTGATATCACACGAGTCTTAACTATTGTTTTATTTATAAAATCTATATTCAACAAGAAATGACATTAAACATGCAGTAAATCACTTTAATTTTCTATTGCAATGAAATTGCAAAATTAGTAAAATGAAAGAAATTATTTTCAGGCATTCGACGTAAAAATTTCACGTTCAACGTAGTAATAACGTCTTGAATAGATTTAGCAACCTCAGCAAAGGGGGTCATAGATTTCTTTTAAGCCACAGTGCTTCCTGTCGTTTCCTGCATAAACATTATTCTCCTTTTAATCTCATCATTACTGGTTAGGCTGGCTTCGCTGGCTATAAATAAGGCATCTCCAAGCAGTAATAGAAGCCATTCCTTGTTCCATCGTTAAAGTCCATATACCGATCCTCCTATAAGTTCAAAATTTTTCCTGATTGAACCATTACATTACAGGTCTTGACTGGTCCTCCTCGCTTTTGGCACCAGCCATCATAGGGTTCGAGAAAGATGCGTCAACTCCAGTGTTGGACAACGTGCCCTAACCAGCGAAGGGGGTGTTCGGCGCTCTGCGATAATATTAATACAGGTGGTATTTGAGCGAAGATGGATAGAATCACGAGTGATTTCATCCGCTCGACGGATTTTTAAAATGTATCTTAGATATGAGTGGTCAAAGGTTGATAGTTTTCCCATTTTTATTGGATATGTTTTGCAGCCATATAGCAAGATTGAGCGAATTACAACTATATGGATGCGGATTTTTATCTTTATGGTGATTTCGCGGCGGTTTCATCAACCGGAAAAACAAATTTCTAGCTGTCGTTATCCGGGTTACAATTTCATCCTTTATCTGGCCATTTGGGATTAGAGTGGATCCAAAGTATTTGAAGTCAAGCATTTCCTCAACAGGCACGAGCATTGGCAAGCGTTAATTTCTGGTGAACCATATGAAATTTCTTAAGCACTTTGCACATAGTCTTTTTTTTTCTTTTGATAATTCTCATGATTACTATTTATATTGATATTAAAAGAAACGCACTTTTCCACCAACTAAACCATGCTATATAATGCATTCAGAATCTCTTCCGACTATCGATCCAGGACACAAGTGGTTACAGTTGAAGACATTATGGTCCAGATTTTGGTAAGAATTTGAGGACGCCTTCAACATTCTAAATTTTTTTCAAACAAAATTTTTGATTATTGATTGTTGTTCTATTATATGTCGTTCTGGAGTATAATCAAAAATTCAACTTATGAGTTTGGCTTCATTTGAAGCAACTTTTTACCACTCGACTTCGTAGCGTTTCGTTTAATGGAATAAAAATTCTGCTTGTCCGTAGGACTGATATTCCTATTAGTTAGGAAAAGGATGGTTAATGACTCAATTATGATTTTGCGATGCAATGGTTCGAATCGTTCTGCCACAGAAACGAAAATTCTACGCTCAATGGGAATAAACCTGAAGAAAAACAGGGAAACACGTTATTAAAAAATTTGGGTGATGCCGGTGAATCATTTGTACTTCAGCCGTCAAGTGACTCGCTGGCAAAAATTTCTAGCCAGCGCGACGGGGAATGATGTGAATTCAGCACTTTTGTATTGGGGAAAAGCTGTGCAAATGCAAGTTGGTAGTGATACGATAGTGTAAAATAAATTATAAAAAAGCGCATTGGATGCGAAAATTATCAAATAAAGAATCTTTCATTTATTCGAGATAATTTATTGCCGAACCTTTAAACCTTTCGCTTTACATTCTTTGTCTTAATAAATAAAATGCATCACTGTGCAAATAAATAAAATTTGAAACTAAAATGATAAGTTGAGCAATGGCGATTCTGAATAAGAACATCGAAACTTGTTTCATTCTTAATACATTTCCTAGTTGTTTTTTCGAAATCGCATCAGAAGTTTTCATTTCACATTTTATTTCAGTCCGAAGACTGACACCGAATAAATTATGTTGCTGCGCTGGTTTTTTCTGGCATCCATAACCGTGGTGATATTTCCACAGGAACCTATTGGCTTCCGACCTCCTCCTTCACAATTCAATCAACCGTTTCCTTTGCTTGATCCAGTTTACTGGTCGGTTTATGAAGTAGCTGCATTTCTTGATCGTACTTCGCCATATTCTATAATATATCTACCAAAACCAATTTTGCTACGAATTCAGCAGTATTGTAGCATATTTTTCGCTGAATATCGATGCAGGTGAATTATTTTCTTGAAAAGATGCAATTTTTAGGTGTTAGATCAAACCTCATTGAAGGATCTTTCCAGTTTATTTTATTCTTTTCCAATTTGCCAATAATTTAAGATATATTCTTGCTTAGAACTGAACTGAAGCGAAATGATAATACTTCTATGATTTTTCTTCTTTAAGTGGTATCCGTCATTTCCCCTTTGAAGCTGATTGCTGGGAAGAGGAGGGTTTCCTATTCACCTGAGAGTCACTAAAGATAAAGGACTTTAGTAGAATTCGAAATAAGCTATGGTTGCTATATGCTATTTCCACGATGAATCACAATTTTTAAAGATATTAAATATAAAGTGAACTAATAAAAGCAATTAGGCTCCTTAATCGAGAAAGGTCTTTTATAAATAATAGAAAGAAAGCTGAGAACCATAACATCAAGCACCAACATTATTTCAGTGACATTTTCATAATGTTAGCAGTGAGACTGGAAGATATTAAGAAGCTGTCTGTCTCTGACTCAAGATACATTTTACGGGTTTGTCGAGGAAATAAAATCTTATCCTCAATCGCTCAAATGCTACTTGCATTAATAATACCGAGCATCTTGGCTGATTAGAGCACGTTCTTCAAAATTTTTTCTTTTTAGGTTTTTTCGCTGGTGGAAGAGACCAATTCTAAGGGAAGAAAATATCCAGAGACCACTTGGACCACCAGCACCAATCGAGGAGCAAGATATTCCAACCAGAATTACTACAAAAGTATTTGTACTGTTAATTTTTAACAAAGTTTTTTTAATAAATATACTAATTTTGTTCAGTAACCGATAAGCGATATAATAGGCAGAATAATAAATACAGAAAACTTACAAATACAGAAAATAATCAGAAAACTTTGGAAAAGTTATATGAATCTCATTTTCTTGTCAAAATTCTTTTCAGCCTCCTGCAACAGTGTTTCCACCAGCACCACAAATTCATATCCCCGATATTTTGACATTTGTACCACAAAGTTTGTCGGATGGTCTCATCAAAGTTGATTCATTCATGAATCTCACTGATAATGATAGACGAAAAATGTTGGTAAGAAACTAAAACTGGAATATCTATTTAAATGAAAAAACAAGAGATTAAGAGATTCGATACTGCTAAGTCCCAATAATCACCATCTAATAGAGTTTTCCAAAAAATTACTTTTTTATATTACTTTTTCTTTCCACTGTGTTTTAAACGTTATTTTAGAAAACTTGTTCTCAAGTGATCAACTGTCGTAAACAGGATGAAATATCAAAAAAAAAAAAAAAAATCGTCGAAAATCGCGAGACGTCTATAGCGAAGTTAGTTTAATATTATAAATAAGCGAACTGTGAATAAGTAAGTTAGTCAATTATTTACCACATTTACTTTTTTTCTTCTTAATTTTTCATTTAATAATAATTTTTGTCCTGTGTGAACCTCGTTTGACGCCACTTGGCATTTGGTTGACTCCATTTGTTAGTAAATTCAGGCCTTTCGCCAAACAATTATTTAGAGATAGAAGAGCAGACGGGTCCCGAACGCCACCTTTTAATCAATTAAACGATTGTTAAGCAGTCATTTTTATAGATGGATCTCTTCTTTCTAGCCGAGTTATTCTTTCTATCACCCAAAAATCCATACTTCTTACGTAAATACATTTCACCATGAAAGAACTATTTATAATTATAATTATAGATTGGTAACTCCTGAGAACAAAGGCTTACAAAAATCAGTTAGACGTCGGCTTTATCGTATGCGACAGGTTAAACAAGCTTTGCTTCATCTTGCTGGAATCGGTGATCGAGTAAGTTGAAATTTTTAGAAAGAATTGGTAAGAATAATAATAATTCAACACTATGATTCTTTTAACTATCTCAGACTAAATGATTTATCAGTAACAATATGCGCATTTCGGAGCAAATTACCGAAATACCTCAATAACCTTATAGGTATCAATGGCACCACTCGGATGAATATTGGTTCTAACTAAAAGCATACTTGCAAAAGCCAAATTCATGCTAGAATGCGTCAGTGCGCTAGTTGGGTTGGGTATAGGAAGCAATTGTCCAATTGTCACAAAAGGCTGCTAATTCACGAGTGGGGAACGTGGTTGCCAAATGCTTCCAAGGCAACAATAGCAATATGGTGAGACAGAAATCGTTATTTAAGTGGTGTGGCCCTGAATTTAGAAAGGGCTGCTCAAATAAGCGATAATAGACTATTCCGCCTATTTCATAAAGCCATAACTCGAAAATTATCTTTTCTTTGTGTAAAGATTCACATCTTTTAGCCAATTTATACAAAAACTACCTTATTTACAAGTCTTTTAGATGTGAAACAGCTTGATATTCTTGCAAAAATAATTTCTATACAATTTTCTCTTATATAAAAAACTAATTTTTTTTGTAATTTCTTACGTAATCTGCATTGTAAGTGCCCAACGCATCTGGGAAATATATAAGCTCCTAGAATCTGTTCGAAGGGCACTTCAAATGGCGAACAATTTCTCTACTCGAAGAGGAATTCAACGCGACATTTTTCCTTAACTTAACCATATATTCGTTCCTTGATTCAATTATTATACTATTATATTATATTGTTGTTATAATTCTACGGTGAATAAACCTTTCCCTTCCGACTCATCACATCAACAACAACGAGACACTTCACAACACCACTTGCCAGCATTCAAGAATTGTTCAAGTCAGTCCAGAGTACAAGATCTTGATCACGATGATCGCAGTTCTTTCGTTTGAGGAAGCCTCTATGAAACGAAAATTACCATCAAAACAAAAGTTTGGATCGCATTTATATTATATAGTTGCGAAATATGGCCAATGAAAGAAAAAAATAAAGAGGATATTTGAAGTTAAATATCTTTCTATGATCATTCTATGTCGATCTATTTAGAACATTTTACGGCTCGCCGTACTGATAAAATCTCAAGCAACTGCAGCCATTCTCGATTCTGTAATATATATGATCCATCAAATACTGTCTGCATTAATCATCACAGGTCGTCTCTGCTTAAACCATTCCTTGCCTATCGCAGAAATTTATGCATATCTCATTACTTGCTGAATCTTATGATGGATTGGTTTATATAAAAACATATTTACATATTATATATTATATTATACATTATGCATTACGATTACAATATTTTACTTGAAATCTTAAGTACCATTCGGATCCACCAAAAAGATGGATCATTAGAGACGAATATTGTAGCAAACTTCAACCAGTAGAAATTTATTATTTATCTTAGTATCAAATTAATTAGTTATTAAATAATAAAAAAAAAAGGTGACTGCTAGTGACGATGGAACTTTTCAAAACGATCTGATTCTCACAGAAATGCAATCAAACTGGCTTATTAATCGAATCGAATCTGTAGGCAGAATGCGTAAAAAGCGTAGTTCACTGTTTCTGGAACAAGCACTTGCTGAAAAATGGGACGTTAGAGCTCCTATTCCATATACATTTGACCCATCAGTTGGTTAGTTTTTTTTCTAATTAGATTCTTCTTAATTTTGATCATCACTCACCATTTCTGGTTATACCATTTCTGGCTGCTTCTCTAGTTTTTTGGATGAGATTTTCCAGAGAGTCATTTGGTAGAATTTTGTCATCATTTGGTGATAGAATTATTCTTGTTTTTTTGGTGAAATAATTTTTTATCGAAAGTGTAGTTTTATCATATTCTGATGGAATATAAATTCAAAAAACAATAATTTTCTTGTTAATATTAAATTTTAAATGCTTTCTTGAAATTTATAACTCCAAAGCTCTGAGCTAAGTTGTAGTATATTCGCAACTATATTAGAGCTATTTATAGCCAACGATGAGCAACAAATTATTCAAAGTGCTCTAAATGCGATTGAATCAAAAACTTGTATAAGATTTCAATTTATTCATCACCGCCCTCAATCATCGTATATTTATTATGTGAAAGTTCCTGAAATGAATGAGTAATTTTTTCATACTTTATCATTAAGTAATAAAGTGGCTAATCATTTCTGGTTAGACTAACTCCCACTGGATGTTAGTGTGTATAAAATTAAAAACTTGCCAGAGAGCCGAATATGGATAAAAATTTAGATGGGTCGCCAGTACATGCATTTGTTAATAACAAATTTATTCCACTCGGAGGCAGAGTTCTGAGAAAGCTGAAAGCGATAGTCTGATACTTCCCTGTTTCTGAATTTTATCAATAAGCTTTAAAAAATTGAATAAATACAACAAATAAATAAATATAGTTTAATATTTATTCATTACTGTAATGTCGCATAACTCGAGTGTTAATGTCATGGGCGGAAATCGCGATGTTTTTGAACCACAATATAAACAGAATAAGAAACAGGACATGATGCAAAAAAGTTGCAGAAGAATAAAGCAACCGATGATGACAGTACAAGACAATGATTTAGCAAAATTCCGCAGCTTGGAAAGACATATATAATGTATAGAAAGATGTAGCAATATTAAGCAGTTTTCTGACTTATTTATTCTATAATCTATATATATATATATATATATATAGATAGATAGATAGATAGACATTGTATATATATATATATATGTATATATATAATGTATCCTGCAATAATTTATAAGCTGGCATGTTTTAGAATTACATAAAAACAAAATAAATAATTATTGAAATAACGCTTAATTTTCAGATGTGGAATAAGTTATATTGGGAGAGCAGATCCAGTGAACCCGGTTTATTTGAGCTTCCGATGTTCTGAGGTGACTAAATCACCATTATTGTATATTATTCAATAACTTTTCGAAATTTTTAAGAAATTTAAATTTTTCAAGCATTTTTGCCAGACAAATTAGACAATTAGACATAGAAAACTAGCAAATTTTTCAGAATATGGGAATAGCAATACATGAAACCCTACACGTACTGGGGGTTCAACACGAACAACTACGAGGCGATCGTGATAAATTTTTAAAAGTTCAGTGGCAAAATATCAATCCACAACATTTCGATAACTTTGTGATAGAAGATACAAGGCAATTTACAAGGTTCCACTTTGAATATTTACATTTATATTTCTTTATTTTGAGTTATTTCGCTATATCCTTTGTTTTATTTTTAATTTCCCTTTAAAAAATTTTTGTTTGGTGAGCGGTCGTTTTTAGAAAGAAATTATTCTCGATTTATTTTGTTTTACTTGAAAATTATTTTTGATAACAATTCAGCTAAGTTCTCTTGAACTTTTAATTTTTTTTTACCAAACAACGATTAAAATTAAAATAAAATAAATCAAAATTAAATCAATTAAATTAAATCAAATCAATTAAATTATAATTAAATAATATATATTATATATATTTCATATATATACATATAATCATATTTATATATTTTTAAATTTCATTGTCCATTTTATTATTTTCTTCAAATTTAATTTTTTTTTTTGTCTTTGGCAGGAGTAAACCTGCTATTATGTCAAAAATCCGGGTGGCTGCTAGGGACCCACCTGTAACTCTATCTCAAGTGACTCTATGGTGAAAGGGTCAGATATACTTCATACGGCGTCCGCGTCTCCCGACGCGCATGATGCTTCGAACCCTGTGGTACATGCGATATACAATCCGGGCTTAAAGCTATCCCAAGGATGGTAAATAAAATGTGCTCTCAAGCCAGGGTAATTGTTCGAAACCTATCAAGGGGAACAGCTTTCTGCAGCGTGGCGAGACTTTAGCCGTATCAGCGTGGAACGACAGAACGCTTATGGACGTTGCAAATCGAGCGATCACTATCCACACCTTTTCTAAATATCGTGTGGATATCGCTTGCTTATCGGAAGTTCATTTTCTTTATATCGGGTATGATTATTAATCCTAGCTAGAAACAGAGGTACTGGCTATATTACTGTGGTGCTTCGGATAACTCGGGGCGAAATGGCGTAGCGATTGTCATATCTGACATTCCGCTTTGATTGGGTGGAAACCGGTAAGCAACCGTATGGCCTATGCCCGTTTTACGGGTAAGTTCTGCAATATTTCGGTGATCTATGTCAATGCTCCAACCCTGTCGGCAGATGTGTTCAATGCGGAAATTCAACTGGTAACAAAGTTTCTATCAAAATATGACATAGTCATAGTCGGGAGAGATTGGAATGCATGCGTAGATCATAATGCCGCTGCGATATAATTGGCAAATATGGCAATTGGAGACCGGTGCGCCAATGGGAAACGTCTTCGTTATGCCGAAGAGTATGAACTTTATTTGCTTCCGGCATCGCAGAAAACATCTAATCACGTGGAATTTCCCGGATAAAACACTTCAACCAGATTGATTATATCTTTGTCAGTCACCGTTGGAAGAGTTCCGTACTAGATAATCATCCCTACCGTGGAGAGTTCGAGCCAAAATCCGCATAAAACTGACAGCTCGCAGAGAACAGGATCTCCCAAGATCCTTAAACTATCTCAAACTAAAAAATTCGGGGGCAGTGAGCATATTTCAAAGTGAATTATTGAAGTATCTTAGTGATGCAAATATCAATAATTTTCTGTAACGGCAAATGAATACTGGTCCAAACAAAAGGAAGTCAGCCACTTCCACGCTAGGGCATACTAATAGGAGGTGTGATAGTTGGGTATCGGAAGCAATTGTCCAACTTTCTGAAAAAGCTGCCAAAGCATGAATCCTGACTACCGGATGCTTCGAAGATTTGCAGTGAAAGCACAGCGGGAATTGGAGTGACATGACCTCAAGAATGGAGGCGGCGGCTCGATTAAGCGATAATAAGAAACTAGTCTGCCTTCTTCATAGCAACTATAATTCAGGAAAAGATTAGTGAAATGGTAAGGGACAGCAATGGTGTGCCACTCAAGAACCGCCTCATAAGATGGAAAAAATTTTTTGAGGCCAAACATAACCAAGAAGCACCATCCGTTGCCCCTGATATAAGTGATGGTTCGCTGAACCATATGCTTGCAACTATGAGCCCCTGAGAGAAGAAGAAATATTATCTGTTTGCGACCTGTTATCCATAAGCTTAAAGCCAATAAAACTCTGGGAGAAAATGATCTTCGGGGTGCGGAAATGCTGAACTCTTTAAATGTCCATAATTATTCATAACACACTTTTAACTCTCTGGTATGGGAAAAAAAAATATATTACCAGATGATTGCAGCAAAGCAATTCTGCTCTCAATTTTTAAGAAAGGTGATAGGACATAATTATCAAGGACGTTTCAGCGAAAATTTTTGCTTCCCTTTTAGTCAACAGACTTATGGAAGTACGAGACAGCAGGATGCGCCCTAATCAAGCTGGATTCACACCGGGGCGTGGTTGTGCTGACCAGATATTTATGTTAAGAAGGGTGTTGAAACGTCGCTTCATATATTTGCACATATATTTGCCCACACTATCAAGTGTTTCATCGCGTCTGCCATTGATTCAACTGATTCAATTGATAGAAATGCGCTTCGGAGGGTGATGGTATGTGACGGTGTTCCAGAGAAGATTATTAGACTTATAAAGGCATTTTATGAGCGTACGTCGGCGTAGTTCTGTATATATGGGGAAATGACAGACTCTTTCGAAATAAGAACTGGTGTCCTTTAAGGCTGCATCCTTTCCCCTACAATATTCAACTATGTGATAGACTGGGTAATGGACACCGCTTGTCGGTACTCAAGGGATGTCCAAATCAATCCAGAGCACAGATCGTATCACAGATCTTGAATATGCTGGTGATGTAGTATTTCTTGCTGACAGCTATGACGAAATGCAAGTAATGCTAGCGTGTTAGAAAGAATGCAGCAAGAATAGGACTCAGGCTCAACGTATACAAAAGTCTTTTCGTTGATAAAATGCTTCTTTTTGTAAATTCATTGCTGGTCGAGGAAGCCCGATTTTAAATATCTTAGCTCCACTCTAATACCAAATGGCCAGGCAAAAGACGATATTATAGCCCAGATCACGGCAGCTAGAAATGCGTTCTTCCATTGACGAAACTTTTACGGTGCCGTCGAGAAATCATCATTGAAACAAATATGGTTCTGAGACATGGCCAATGAGAGTGGAGGATATTAAGAAGCTATCTGCCTTTGACCACTCTTGTCTAAGGTAAATTTTACGGGTCCGTCGAGCGGATAAAATCTCATAAGATTGCATCCACCTTCGTTCAAATACCACTTGCATAAATAATGTTATCATAGAGCGCCGCTTTCGCTGGTTAGGGCACATTCTCCGTCGTCCACCACAGGAGTTGACGCATATTTCGTTATTTGCTAAACCGTGTGACGGTTGACGTCAAAAGCGAGGTGGACCAATTAAGACCTGGGCTGATACGGTGAGAAAAGATTTTGAATGCATAGGTGGACCAACAATATATGGACTTAGACAATGGAAAAAGGAATGGCTTCCATTACTGCCGACGATGGCATCAGACCGCGCCGCTTGGAAGCGTCATACCGTTTTCAGCTTAAAATAAAATAAAATAATATCTGAACTTCTAATACCGGCTTGCTGAAAAATACTTTTACGATAAATCTTCCATAAACTATTCCTTTAAGTTTCAAAATATTTCTATCATAAAGTTCGATCAAATCGTTAAATCAATTTCAGTTATGGAGTGAAATATGATTTCTTCAGTATCATGCATTATGATCCTTATGTTGGTGGAGTCGATCCAAAAAAATCAACAATTGTTCCAAGATATCAACCAGAAAGATATCTTAAAGTATGCTAGCTCTTCAACTATAAATATAATAAATATATATTGTATAAATATATATATTTATATTTAAATATAAATATATATATATTTAAAAATTTATTATTTACAGTGTTTCTTGAAGCAGTGAAATTTTTCAAATATCTTTTCATTGATTTTAAATACAAGACTTGGAACGGAGAAGGACGTTAAAATTATTTATAGGTCCTTGGTCAGCGCAAAGCCCTGAGTGATCGAGATGTTGAACTGCTTAATGCAATGTATTGCAATGAAGGTAATCGGCGATTTAAGAAATATTGACTATTGTTCGAAAGAATAGCAATAAACAATTAATTTAATTTTGTTAAATCCTTTAATCTTCATTAGCTAATTCTTTTTTAATTTTTTCCCATGTGCACGAAACTTATTCGAAATCCTATAGTTGAGAGGATATTGCCTTGATAATTTCAGGATGCAAGGATCAGAATGTCTACTGCGGTATGTGGTCACTAAAGATGTTATGTAAGAAACCTGACCATCACACATGGATGCAACAAAACTGTCGAAAATCTTGTGGTTTCTGTTAAAATTATGGAAAAAAATTATGGATGAATTAATCTTTGAAACTATTCTTGTATTTTAAATCTTGAAATTAAATTTTTTAAATCTTGTATTTTTGCGATATCCATATTTATTTATTTGTCAGTTAAAATGAATTTATAAATGAAAAATGAAAATGAATAAATCAATTTAAAAAGCTTTGTCTATAACATCCTGCAAATTTTTAATTTCCATATCCATAATTATCACTCAAAAAATAGTGGACGAAGAAAGGAAAAAGAATGAATAATAGAAAATAATAGAAAGCACTTATTATTTTTCTGAAATCATATCGGAAGGAGCACTACAGTTAACTTTTTAATTTTTTTAACTTTTTATACTAACAAACATCTTCTGATTTGGTTGGCTCAATTAGCTATGATGATATTACCCATTCTCCGAAGAGTTGGCTAGAGATAGAAGTGTTGTGTTCTCGAATCACTGAACTTTTTTACATCTTTAGTGGCTATAATTTGAAATACCAAAGAGCAAGAACTGAGTCCTCCAAGATATTTGGTCAAAACAATATAAGAAGATCTGTGGAATTGCCTTGAATCCTTGAATCCCATGTTTAGATGTCCCTATAGATAGCTTCTTGGTTATGCCATTCTTTATATTTTTTTTTTTCTTGTCTATATCTTTCATGCAATCACCATGTATTTATCAGCCATCAGAGGTTGTGCACTTTGGGTCCTGTATGATGTGGCAATTCACTGCTTGATCTACTAACTCCTTATATCAGTGCATTAACGATGTCTTTTAATCAAGATAATCATTTTTCAACCATTGATTTCCCAGTGCCAGCCATTTTAGCTATTTATTTCCAACAGAGCCTCGCATTGCCACGGCACTTCTTCTTCCCATCGTCTGCTATTTCTTCACAAATTCTGCACATCTATACTACCACATTTATTTACGTTTATATATATATATATATATATATATATTAAAATATATTTATACAAAAACTTCACCATCATCACATATATTTAAACAATATGTCGAAATATTTTTAATGGAACTAAGATTGAGAAATTCAGTTGCTGTAAGTTCCTCTCGAGGTGTTAAAAGTTGCTCAGCCGAATTTTTGCACTGATTCGTCTCTTTATTTATTCTGCAAAATCTTTTTAAATAAGAATTTCACTTAGTTTTAAAAAGTTAGAAAACATTATGTTATGGATTTAATATTTAGTTCAATAGCTATAGGAAACAGTACAAATCTAGAAAAAAGGCTAAATAATTAAGTGCCAATAAAGTTTTTATTCATTAATTTATTTTATTTATTCAACTTTTATTGAGGAAATATTCATTTCAGTCTTTATATTCATTTTTTTTCTAAGAGTGCTTAATACTGCTGATTGAGATCGTTGCTCTGGCCTATAAGGCAAGATAAAATTTGTTACGCGTACAGGTGAGTGATCATGAGCCATTCTCGATTCTCCTTTTTCCATGGCATTCATTTTGCCACTAAGCTATTGAGGTACTAAAATTCACAATCTCAATTCTTCCTTACCTGTTCGATTGGTCATCCGTTTGAGAGCGAACTGTTGCTTCACATACTATAATTTGCGGATTTATGAATGTTTTCTTATCCACTAGTGATCTGAAAACCTTGCATTCGGCAAGCATTTTCAAGAATGATTTTCATTGATTTCAGTTTTGATTAATCTATAAGAGTTTCGAAGACTTGCGAAATTTTTTTAAAATCCGATTTTTTTTTGCGATAACATTCGAGCAAAACTAATAATTTCTGAAATTTTATAGCACCTACTATCTCAAATTTCTAAAGCTTTTATGAGTTATTTGAGAGTATGCACGTGGCTCTCTGTTACTACCAGAAGTTCGTCCTTATAGGTTTACCTTTCAAAGGAATCAAATCTATGATTGCTTGACCCCCCAGCGGTATATATTTAAATCTAATATTTCGCTGTACAAAAGAAGATGACAATAAACAATGGCAAACAATTGACGGTAGAAAAATTTTATGTTTTGTGGCTATTCATTTGTATTAATACTTATATTATTAGTATTTGTATTAATGTTCACGGCGTTTGCTATAAAAACATTTGGTGCCAACGGTGTCAACAATAAGTGATATAAAGGAATTGTCATTGTAAGAAAAAATTAAAAAATTAAATTAATTATAAATATCAAAGTGAAACTTGTTTGTTGATTGCTTTTGATTTCGCTTCGCAAATTTGAAACATTGATAAAAGTGACCAAAAGACGAAGAGTTTGGTGAAAGAGCCCATTTTGAACGCCTTCTTTTTCGCTGAAATCTGAATAATCGCCGAAAGCTTGAACGAAATTTCTGAAAAATTAGCACTCCGTGAGTCTTACGATTGAGTAATTTATGGAGTATGTTAAGGTAATAAGCATTGTGAATTTGAATTGTATGGAAAACAAGTGGAAACGAGCTTCTAGCAGTTGATTTAATCCTAATCGGTGGAAACGAAAGTGTTTATTACACTTGAATATTTATTATTGATTATTACATTAAACATTACATTAAACTTTACATTATTACATTATTACATTAAACTTGAACAGTTATTATTGATTATTATATTATTGATAAATTAACAAAATTAACTGGTAATTAATGATAAAGCTGGTAGTGATTAGAGAAAAAGGATTAATATTTATTAAATACCTCATTGATTGCAAAATATATGAAAAAATTGAGCGACGAATTCAAGTAGCCTAATGCCGTAAACCAATGAAACCAAATTTCCAAATATGTTGGCCAAAAATCAAAATTTAACATATATGCTTTGATCATGTTCATTATGAAAAACGGCAACCAACAACAAAGAAACACAACTGAAATCGTGTTCATCATTTGCTTTAAGAAATGATTCTTCTTTTTCTGAGAGTATTTCCGACTAGATTTTCCACTCATTACTTGCATGAGACCTCTTTGCCATAGAATCATTTGGAAGGAGAAGTACAGGTCCTTTTGCACTACCACGTGAAGTAATAATGGAATATTACTGAGCTGATAAGTCGTACTACATGATAAGAATTTGAATGAATTTGCACTTACAAGTATGTTAAATTGTTAAAAATAAAAAAAAATATTTTGATAGTAATTGCTTTTATTTTTAATTTACTGTTATATACTGTAGTTTTTTTAATCATTGATAAATAATATCTTATTGAAGCTCATAACTACATGACATCCTTGTGATTGGCTTAAACATTCGACATGACAGCATAGGCCATAGTGCACTTTTTATCTAATCTTTCCATTGTTTTTATTATCAAAGCGAACATACGCATTACTACAGCAACTAATTTGGTTGCTCTTGCCTCTTTTCTCAATGAAATGCCTTGTTTCATACGCAATTTAGCAGCGAGATTAAGTGCCCAATCCTATAAATATAATATTTCGATTAAGGTTGAGATTAAGGTTTTTATTTGTATAGGGAACTAATCATTTCGAAAAATAGATTTAGCTTTAAATAGATTTTTTAGCTATCATTACTAAAATTAGCACTAAAATCGAACAATCCATTATCCATTCTACGACAGATATTTAAGAAGATTGTAAAAAATTTCAACAACCAGTAGGCTTCAATAACCAATAGACTTGAATTTATTATCTCTAAAATGAGTGTTAATAAAGGCGAATTAAGAATTAAATTATAACCTTCATTCCAGCAAGTTTTTTTCGAGCTATATAAAGTGATTCTCGCCTTGCAATTGTATACATGCGGCTGAATTCAGAAATCGATGATCGACCTGATCTTTCCCAACTTGCAATCAAATCAGATAGTCGACGCATTTTACTAGCATGTGACTGTAATGGAGATAATAAGGATAAAAAATTGCTTGTGACTCCATTGTTTAATGCGAATGAAGATGCAATCAAATTAGATTGCTCTTTGCCAAAGACGATTAAGTGGAAGAATACTTTAACATCAGTTCTGGCAAAAATTTTATAAAATATTCTCAAAAGGAATGCAAAATTTTTCGGCAGAAAGCAAGGCTAACTGTTGTGGATAATCTAGAGCACGATTTATTTCTGCATCGACCCAATAAAAAGTCAGGATATCTTGGCTCCGAATGATGTCTTAATGAATTGAAATTAATTGTTCCTAATGATCGTTTTGTACTTCTCTGTGGTTTGAAAATAAGTATTTCCGAATGTCGGCGTCGCTTTCCACTAAAACAATTTAAACTTTTATTCCAGCAATTTGAGATGATATTCTTTATTTAGTAAAAATATGTAAAGTGGTCACCATTTCTGGTTAAGGCCGCCCTCCTGTTGCTAGTGCGGTTAGAAATTTTCACCAGAAAACGACTTGAACTACGGATGGGATGCCAGTGCTTGCTGGTTTTTGGCAGAGACAGGAACAAGCTCTTTCCCTACAACACACTGCAAAACTAAAATATTTAATATTAATAATAGATAGATGACGATCACCTAAGATTAATTTTAGGTACGTTGAGAATAAATCTGTGATTTGACTTCGGTTCCTCTTTTACAGTAGTTATTGCATCCAATACCACAGAACCCACACTAGTCACACTTCGTTCATCTGAGGTTGCGGCATCCAATATTGTCTCTAACTGCAAAATTAATTTTTCATCAATCTTTCTAAAAGGCATATTATTTGTATTTCCAAATTTTGAATAATTATTAAAATGACAAACTTTAAACTTATAAACTTTTAGCTTATTTCAAAAGTTTACGTGTTCTCGATCGCTGTCATCGAGTGAACTAGCATGTTCCGCTTTCGTCTCTTCAATTTTCTGCAATAAAGGTTTTTCCCAACTTATCATTTTGCGATTCTCCGACTCCACACCTGTTGCTTTTTGAACAGCTGAAGTGGCAATATTACCAAGGTCCGCACCAAATCCAAAAAAGTGCCCTCCGGCCATTTCCTGAAAAGTTTCCTGACAATGCTAAATCACACCTAAAGGTTCCTATTAGTAAAAAATTTAGCTTAATCTGGGAAAACAAAATTTTTTTTGCAAGCAATCGTAAAGAAATGAACCTGCAATTTAACGGATCGAAGCCGTCGTCGAAGTACATAGAATATGTAACTATAAGTTACAATCATAACACAACATGGTAAATAAAATGACAAGATTGAGCTATAAAATATATATTTCGAACTATATATACCACATAAATGTTCATTAATGACAAATTCTCGCATCCGAGAGCTAAAATCGGCCCCTAAAATTCTTTCTTTTAATTTTATGGAATTTTTTTGGGTACAGATGGTATTTTAGCAAAACAGCTTAGATTTCTTTTCAAATCCCTATTAGCAAAAATTGAAATTGGACAAATTGAGTATAAATAGAAATATTCGAAACTTTTAAAAGATTTACCAACTGGAATAGAAATTCCAGTACTAAATATCCAGGCAATCACAATTGCAAAATAAATTCTCCTTTTATGTTCAGTTGCTTTATAATCAGCTGGCCTAGTTGCTGCAATGAGCCTAAAAGAATCTTACATTAAAATAGGATTTCCTCCCCACATAATTATTTAATTACTTGGTCCGATTGGTATTAATACTATTATCCTCATATATCTGATATTATTGTTCATTTAAGAGGCAATTATCAAAGACAATCGTGAAAAAAACAGTTCTGAAAAGTTAAAAGAATAATATTAGGATCGTACGGAATTATAATAAACCATCTCGAGTAATGCCGTGGATGTACGTGTATCCCATCCCTCCCAAATGAATCTTTGAAGAAGTGTTCTGACCGTTAATAGCCAATGTAGACAGCCGAAACATTCTATTAGAAATTATGATTCAAGAATTTCTTGAATCAATTTTCTGGAAGTATAAGAACTCTCAGATAACAATTGACAGATTTATCAATTTATAACGATCTATTCAGAACAAAAAAAAAACTCTTATTATTCTGCAAATCCCCACTGTTTATCCTTATTGGATTATCGATTTGAAAAATTATAACTAGGCATCAGTCACATAAAAGTCATGAAAATTTTTATCCACACTGAATTCATTTATTTCAGCTTTATCGATTACTTCCATAATCCAGCCAATTTTCTTTCATGTTCTAGGAACTTTTCAATGGAAAAAAGGTGTCCAAGTAGTAGAAAAAATTATTGAAATGATCGACCTATCAATGCTAATTAAAACCAAATGAATAATTGATGAACTTGAAGCAGCAACATCGAGCGCACAGTAAAGTTGGCAAATAAATACGGCTAAATTCCAATGTAAATTGTTTACCTGAAAGAAAAATATCTTCAGATTTGATCCAGGAAAATTTGAATAGGAAATATAATTTAAATTTAACTCCTCTTTAATCAAATAATTTGCTGTTCAAAACATGTTTTGACAGAGCTTTTCAAAAAATTCAGAAATTTCTCTTGAATTAATTATTTAGACAATCATTTTCGATGTATACAACTTCTCATTAAGTTATTAAAAAATTTTTTTTTAATTCCAGTAAGTTTCATCAAAAATAAGTTCAATGCGAGCAGTGGCAGGTTAGAGGACAACTTACTTTCCATTTATATGACAATTACGATGAACTATTTTGACGGGGTCGAAACACATTTTTAACCATAAAATTTTATCAGTATGTAAGGATTCAAAAGGTCGTAAAAAAATCGCTTGAAAAAAATCGATCATAATATTAGCAATAGGAGGATACTATCTTATTTTTTAACTCCGATGTGCTGACCAGATATTTATGTTAAGAAAGGTGTTGAAACATCGCTTCACATATTTGCAGCCCACTATCAAGTGTTTCATCGATTTTGCGGCTGCCATTGATTTAACTGATTCAATTGATAGAAAGGCGCTTTGGAGGGTGATGGTATGCGACGGTGTTCGAGATAAGATCATTAGACTCATGAAGGCATTTTCTGAGCGTACGTCGTGTATGTACTTGGGCGCAGATCTGTATATGTGTGGAGCTAACACACTCCTTCGTAATATGAACTGGTATTCATTAAAGTTCCATCCTTTCTCCTATTACATTCAAATATGCGATAGACGAGGTAATGGTTATCTCTTGTCGGCACTCAAGGAAAAAAGTTAGTCAAAATCACAAATCAATTAGAATCAGTCAGAAAATCAGTCCAAAGCATCGTATCAAAGATCTTGAATACGCTGATGATGAAGTCCTTTTTGCTGATTATGATGAAATGCAAGTAATGCTAAATGTCGTGTCAGAAACTGCAATAAGAATCGAGCTCAGGATCAATGTATATACAAAACGAAATTCTTTTCGTCGTATGTACAATAAGTTCTAAAAATTGCCTCTTTATAAATTCATTGCCGGTCAAGGAAATGCCGATTTTAAATACCTTGGGTCCACTCTAATACCAAATGGCTAGGCAAAAGACGATATTATAGCCCGGATCACGCCAGTCCGTTCGATCTTACTATATGGTTTTGAGACATGGCCAATGAGAGTGGAGGATATTATGAAGTTATCTGCCTTTGACCAATCTTATCTAAGGTACTATTACGGATCGAGCGGATAAGATATCACAAGATCGCATCCATCTTCGTTCAAATACCACTTAATGTTATCATAGAGCGCTGCCTTCGCTGGTTAGGGCATATTCTCCGTCGTCCACCACAAGAGTTGTCGCATATTTCGTTATTTGCTAAACCGTGTGACGATTGACGTTAAAAGCGAGATGGGCCAATCAAGACCTGGACTGATACGGTGAGAAAAGATTTGAACGTATAGGTGGACCAGCAATATATAGACTTGGACGGTGGGAAAAGGAATGATTTCTATTACTGTTGACGATAGCATCAAACCGCGCCGCTTGGAAGCGTCTTACCCTTACAGTCGTTGGAGCCACTGTTAACCAGTAATGGTGAAAGCTGTTAGAAGAACAAGAATTAGATCAGTGCCTAATTATTTGGTGCCCAATGAATTGATAAGCTTAAAGAATTGATAAATCAATGATAGCAACTTTCAGAATCGAAGGATGGCAATTGGAAGCATATCATTGTGATTTAAACTGTTTCGAACAATGCAAATTCTATCTTCCTCTAGGTATGTTCAAATGCTTGCTCGTATAATTTGATTTTCAAGCACAACAATGCGTTTGTGTTCATAGTGACAATATTATTATCAATAATATTAGTAAAATATAAACATAATATGCTATTAATGTTACAAAAAAGAAAATAAATAGGAAAATGTTCAATGACCAAATGCAAAAAATTGAAATCAGAGAAATTGTGGCAGAAAATTATGCAATTTGAATTCACCTTGCAAGTTTATGTTTTACTTTATGTTTTTATGTTTAATTTTTATGTTTTACTTTTGTAAAGATTTCTCCATCTTTTATGAATGATTCTCATTAAAACTTTGCATTAAGAAATTTGCAAAAAAAAATTTCAAAATATACATCAAAATGATCTATAATTTCGAGTATGGCTTTGGTTCGGGAAGGTTTGGAAAAGTCTTACTCTAATTGCCATTAAAACCAAATCAGCAATGATGCGAGCTTAAGAAAAAAGCAAGTGATAATTTTTTAAATAAATCTCTTTTAACCCCTTATTTTATTTCTCAGCAAGATGTCAAGATTGCCATGATTTTTAAAAATAAAATTATTTTTGAAGGCTTGATTTCGGTATTCGTTCCATGCTGGAAACAATTTGCAACACCAACAGTCTGCAAAAAAGAGGCTGAATAATCTAAACTTCCAAATAAATTATGATCTGCTGCGAAATTTCATATAAAAAAACTACTTATCAAATTACTTAGAGTAAGCGTCTAATAAAACGTCTAATACAAAGATTTTATGAAACTCTAACAAAATGAGCACAGCGTGAATAAAAAATCCCACAGAATTTTGATAATAGTGAAAACAATATTCCCATTCAGATGGTGCTGGTGTTCCATCGGTATTGCTTGAAAGTTAAGTGAATATTTTTAGAATAATAACCAAACATATTAATAAAAAATAATAGATGAAAATTTGCGCAATTGTAAAATTTGTATATATATATATATATGCCTTCTTAACTTTATGTGCAAAGGCATGCATATGTTATTAACAAGCCACCAATAACTACAGTTCAGTTTTATATCAAGTTAAGAACAAAAAAATGCAAATTTTTTTTATTACAATATAAAAGAAAACTTTGGAAGCAATAATCCAATGAAAGGAATGACTATAGATGCTTCAGATAACATGCCGATAATTTAAAAAAACTTACCGATATATAAATATGAAACGGCATTGCGAATGCGCCGACAATTAAGTCAGCAATTGAAAGACTAACTAATAAATAATTTGTTGGAGTTTGGAGATTTTTCGTTCTCCATACAGCAATTATTACCATCGAATTCCCAACAATACATACTATGGGAATTACTGATAGAAATAAATATTCCCAACGAAGTGGAAGTGTTTGAATATCGGTGCTCTCAGATACCTTTGTTATATTATTTTCATTTTCATTATTTTCCAACATCTTTTTTGCGTCAAGAAAAGAAATGCGATAAAATAAGCCACAGTTATGGCCCAAAATTGTTTGGGCTAAATTTTTCAGGATTCGAAATTTGTCAGAAACAGAATTAAGGATTGCTGAAATTGATTAACCTTCTCCCATAGTAATATATAAAATATATATTTAATCAATCAGAAATTGACCGAGCAATATCCATCCACTGAAATTAAATCAATTTGTATAATCTCAATAGTTATAATTTTTTTTAAAATTGTATATATTTTCCATAACTTGTTCACCGTCGGAATCACTGAATTTATGAATTTTCATTAGATATGACTTCATTTCATTCATGTTAAATTTCATTTGTTCTAGAAATTCATTCAGCTGCGATCAGTGGTAAGATTTATGGTAAAACTCTTATTGATAGCTTTTTAAATAACACCAATAATGGCATTATGAATGGGTGGTATTAATCTTAGATTATCATTTTCATTATCACAATTATCATCACAGTTAGGCCTCTATCCGTTGCAGAAGTAATCAGAATACTAAAAAATCTGGTTGGTACTAAAAAGTCGGTACTTCTATTTCCAAGTGGCAAAAATCCCATCCCATCCTATATCATCCTATTAGCCAAGGGAATAGATTCAGAAATCATGAGAAGCGATATAAGCAAAGCATTTTAAATGATAAATGGAAAACCATGTCGAATGCCGTTAGATGAATTTGTAGAACGAAACCACAAATATTTATTTGCATTATTAGTCACAATCGCATTATTACATATTTAAATTTAAAGGTATGCAATTAAGCAATGAAAACAACCAATGCAATTTTTTATTCATTTTTAGAGAGTGGAACTTAAGATTTAAAATCTAAGCATACTTCAGCAATATCATATTCACCATATGGAAACAATGCCACAATGACTGAACTCGCGAGAAAGAAAGCAATAAATAAAATTAAGCAGCAATTTAATGAAAAAGTGGTGTGAAAATGCCATCTTTTATTGACGGAAAATTTTCGAAAAAACAGGTGGCAGAAACAAAACACAAAATTACCGAATAAATATAAGAATATTAGAAAATATTCAAAATGTCTTTAAAAAATAAATAATAAATAATATTTTCAAAAATAATATCAAATAGCATCCGTTCCATCATGTAGAAACAAGACAATATATATACATATACCGCTGAGAAATTTTTAATTCCCAATCAAATTTGACAGAGAAAATAACATTTCGTTAACAAAATGTACGGGCGACCGTATGAGATTTTTCATCTTTATGAATGCAACAAATCTTCTCATAGATATTCGAAAGAAGGACAACGCGACGAATGGCAAGCAATATTATTATATATACTTAATATATATGTATATATATAATGCATATATGCACATATATATAGCGATGAGTAGTGGTGATTCCTCACCTGAATTTTATTACATATATATATTTACTGGAAGATTTATTTACCTCAAGGAGCATCCATAGTGCATGAGCAGAAGCAATCACTCCATTCGATCATTATTTGGTTGAATTATTTATCAATTATTTATCAATTTCTCTCCCCTATTTTTCTTCATTTTTTTAAGAAGTATTTATCTCTTTGATCAATGACAAATAGAAAGTAAACGGTTAAAGTTGACCATCTGAGGGTCGGTTACTTCTGCTAACTATTAGTAAAAAATTTTTTGCTAGACAAAATCAAATCATTTTTGCAATATTTCTCAATAATTAAGAGAAAATGATTAATGAACATTTTTAATAAAGCCATTCTTGACAAAGTGGAATTTTTTATAAAAGGTACTTTTAGAAGATAAAAAATCTTCGATTCAGATGAAAATTGCGAATGAAATTGTTTTTTTATTTTTTTACTTTCTTTAAGCTATTATTATATTTATATGGGATTTCATGGATTTTCTCAAGAACTTACAGAAATTCGTAAATATACTATTAATATTAATATTCGCCTTTGATTTAGGTTTAGAAATATTCAAAATAATAATTATGTTCGATTCATTGAACGATGGTACTAATTGGCAAATAACGAAAATTAATTCGAAAAAGACGCTTTGG